CCCCCCCCCCGCCACGCCCGGGGGGGCCACCCCCTCCCCCCGCCTGCGCCCCTGCAGGGAACTGAAGGCACAGCCGCCCCGGTCCCTGCTGGGCACTGTTTGCATTAGGAGGAGGGCATTGCCAGCTGCTCTGTGGGGGAGAACCCCCCCCCCCCCCGAGTCACGCCAAGCAGTGTCTGCCCTGCCCAGAGGGGGAGCGTAGGAGGCTCAGAAACACCCATTCCCAGGCCCCTCTCTCCAGGAGGACAAGCCCCATTCCCAGGACACTGGGAGCCTCCCGCATCAGACAGCCGAGGAAACCGACAATGAATCCCAGGCGCTCAGAGTAACCAGCCCGAAGGGACCCAGCAGCCAGGGCCTGGCCCAGGGCTCCCATCCTCCAACACCCCCTGCTACAGTAACCCCAGCTCCCGGGTCCCTGAACCCCGCTGGGCCGGGAGGATGCCCCGTGCCTGAGCCCAGGTCAGCCCACAGAGGCTGGGCTCCAGCAGGTGCCGAAAGCGCCTCCCCCCCGCCCCCCAGCCCCAGCCCAGCCCAGCCCAGCCTTACTTTGTACTTGCAGCGAGCCAGGCCGTAGTCCCCGACTTTGACGGTCAGGTCAGCAGTGAGTAAGCAGTTCCGCAAAGCCAGGTCACTAGACAAAGGAAACGCACAGCTGCTGTTACACAACCCCAGGCGTGCTGGGGCGGTGGAGTGGGGAGCTCACACGCCGGTCGGGGTGAGGGTGCCGGGCAAGCGGCAGCCACCCAGGCCAGAGGGGCCTGAACAACTCAGCAGGGAGACAGGAGGGGGAGCGTCAGGGTTCTGGATTTGAACCCGTTGGGGTGGGGGGCAGTTGTTGGGCCCAGACTTTGGCCAGAGACAGCAGGGCTCAGGCTGTAACTCACCGGCTAGTGCAGGGCATTCCAGTCACCAGCCCAGATACATGGCAGGGAACGCTAAGCCTCCGGCCGCCTCCAGCCGCCCATCCCGCCGTCAGACTAAGCCAGGCAGAATGGAGATTGCCTGGCAACCTACCTCAGCCATTTCCTACCCTGCCGCTATGACCCCTCCTCGCAGCATGCGTGAGTGTGTGTATGTGTGTGCGTGTGCATGCACGCAGGTGAGTGTGTGTGTGCACACGCGTGTATATATGTGTGGGTGGGTGCAAATGTATGCACACATGTATGTATATGTGTGGGTGTATGCGCATGTGGGTGGGTGGGGGAGAGGGTGTGTGTATGTGTGGGCGCGGGGGGTGTATGCAACTGTGTGCATATGTGTGGGCACGTGTGGGTGGGGGACAATGGTGCATGTATGGGTTCAACTGTATGTACACGTGTATGTATATGTGTGAGGAGGGCATGTGGGGGGCATGCGTGGCTGGCAGAGCGGCTGTGTGTATGGGGATGTGGGCGTGTGTGTGGGTGGTGGCGTGGGCGTATGAGCACATGAGTAGGTGGGGGGGCGAGGGTTTGGGGGGCGTGTTTGTATGTGTGTGTGTGGTGGGTGTGTGCATGCGTGGGTGGCAGAGCGGCTGTGT